ATTTATCTTAACACAAGAATTATATAACTATAGAATTAATTGATTATAGTCAAGAAAAATAATAAAATACAGATAGTGTGGTAATATATAACACAAGGACCCCCCCCCCAAGGCTATGATAACACAACTCCTTAGGAAACGTTGTTAAAATACACAGGAAAAATTATCACGACGGTAATTGGTTGCATCAAAGTAATGAAAACTAAGATTATTGATTTTATCCGCTGGCGTTCTGTTCCCATCTTGGGCGGTGCTCTTGGTGTGTGGTATAACGTTCAGTTGATTCGGAGATGGTTGAGCAAAGTAGAAAAACCTAACCTAACCTAACCTAACCTAACCTAACCTAACCTAACCTATCCTATCCTATCCTATCCTATCCTATCCTATCCTATCCTATCCTATCCTATCCTATCCTATCCTAACCTAACCTAACCTAACCTAACCTAACCAAACCTAACCTAACCAAACCAAACCTAACCAAACCAAACCTAAAGTGTCATATCTTTTGGTTTCTTCGGATATATTAGTGTTATTAAGAGATTTATTATCATCATGACCAATCATCACAACAAATCGTATACATTACATCATCATTAAGGAGGTTGGATGACTCTTCCACTACATAGCATCAGTAGTGTTGGCTAATAGAAGGTACTCTATATTAACCCCCAGGTGAAGTAGGCCTGGTAAGTACAGTATAGTAGCTCACAAACTCACACGTAGAAAACATAAATGTCTCATATCCACAGACTCAAATGCTGGGTAAATGTTTGCTGTGTACTCGTGCTGTGAGCCAACACTGGTGGGTGTATGGGACCACTCTATCTCTCACGAGTGTATCTCTCCGCTCTAACTCCACAACTCACACTTATAACCTGGAGCGGAGTGGGTTGTGAGGGAGTGGGGGTGGGTTGTGAGGGAGTGGAGTGGGTTGTGAGGGAGTGTGATGGGTTGTGAGGGAGTGGGGTGGGTTGTGAAGGAGTGGGGGGGTGTGAGAGAGAGAGGGGTGGGTTGTGAGGGAGTGGGGTGGGTTGTGAGGGAGTGTGATGGGTTGTGAGGGAGTGGGGTGGGTTGTGAAGGAGTGAGGCGAGTTGTCAAATTAAATAGATAAATTAAGTAATAATAGAAATGTTTATATACCTGAACATACTCCTTCTCTCCGTCCGTCCGTCCGTCCGTCCGCCCGTCCGTCCCTCCCTGAATGTTAGGTCCTGAATATTAGTTACCAACATTATCAAAATTCTGAGATGTGTTGTAAGACAAATGTAAAATACGACACAGAGAAAAAAGGTCCATTGAAGGAGGTGGTGAAATTACACTTAAATACTTCCGTAACTACATCTAATTGGCACCAGTAGTTAGGTGTAAAAACATCAACTTAAATACGATGATTTGAGGATGATAGTGTGTGATGTGTATGATGGGTGTCAGGAGGAGGAGAGGGATGGACGTGACCAGAAGTGGGAGGGAAGGGAAAAGTCGCCGTTGGACGTGGGTAAGACAGTCTGCCCGGCCGTAAGGTTGTGGATAGAGGGAGGGAGGGATAGAGGGGTTGTGGGAAAGAGGGAGTAAGGGAGGGACGGAGGGAGAGAAGGAGGGAGGGAGAAATGGAGGGAGATGAAGTGAAGAGGTGCGCTATCCGGCTGCGTCACTCTGCCTATCACCAGCTGACGCCATAAAACTCTGCACAAGTTGTTCATGTGTGAAGCAAAGGTCCTCCCTCCCTCTTTCCCTCCCTCTCTCCTTCCTGCCCCTCCACCTTCCCTTCCTCCCTCCCTTCCCCTCCCCCTCCCTTCCTCCTTCCCTGCCCCTCCCCCTGACCCCTCCCCACACGAAGAAATATGCTCTCAGAATTTCGACGCCCTGAGAGTGTCTTATTGCAAGGGTGTCCTGAGAATGCCTCGATATGAAGGCTCACTGGAAATACCTGACGATCTCCTTGAACATGCCCCTGGAAGTGTCTCAGCATAAGGCCCTCCGCGGTTGTCTGGGTGAGCTCATAGCACCGGAAGAAGCAGAGAAGGATGTGGTCAAGCGGAAGGACGGAAGGAGCTGTGGTGAGGCAAAGAGATGGAGCGAATGAGGAGAGGGAGGGAGAAGGGTGTAAAGGAAAGAGAAGAGAGAAAAGGAACAATGGAGATAAAGAAAGAAGAGAAATATAAAGACAAAACGGCATGATGGGAGGCAGGAACTGGAGGTGAATGAATGTAGGGAAATAAAGAAGAAGGAAGCGATTGTAAAAGTGGATGTAAAGGAGAGGAGGAGGAGGGAATGAGAGAGAGAGTAATAGATATGGTTCAGGTTAGGGCAGAGTGACACCGCAAAGAGATGGCTGGTGGCGAGGAATCACACAGGCTGTCTCGTCCCCCGGCACCTGGAAGATTGGCCCGGGCTCCTGAGGCGTCTTCTTCAAAGCCCACAAGATCGTGTCCAGGCGGGTACTTTGCAAAAGGCTCTTTCCCAGTTCTTAAAGTCTGTGGGTTGGGCTGTGCCGTGTGGATGAAAGAGTCAAGAAGTGAGAAGGGGAAGGGAGGGAAAAATGGCTATGAAAATATTAAGAGAAAAATTGAATACTACAAATAAACGAAAATTGGAATATATGTACAGTATTTGCAGTTGTGTGTGCGAGGGAGAGAGAGAGAGAGAGAGAGAGGAAACTGAAAAATGAAAGAAAGGTGTGTGTGTGTGTGTGTGTGTGTGTGTGTGTGCGTACAAGGAAGGGGAAAGCAAAATAGGAAACGATAGAAAGAAAGAGAAACAGAAATGCAAATAATGGAATGAATATTTTATATGAAGAAAGATGTTAGAGAATAAGAAGAGGAAGGACGACACAGAGGAAAAAGACGACCATGACAACAACAAAGACAGCAGGAGACACGAAAGAATCTCCAGGGGTGAGAGACGAATATCGAAATGGAACTGTTTTGCATTTCTACAATTCCATAATACAAAACTTTAACAATATTTGGAGGCTGGCAGCAAAACTTTCGCTCGACTAATCATTACTGGAGCAAGAGGGAAGATGCTGACCCCAGTGACAAAGACAAAATTCAGGAAACAATCAGACAAACAAACAAATAAACATATATATCATACAGACACATTACAGACAAAAAGTACTTACGGAAAAAACTTCTGTACTCAGCAACAGAATCTCCGCGAGTGTGTTTCAGCGAGCATCGATTTCTATCATAGATCACAAGACTACAGTACAGTGAACTAAGCGGACTTCAACCTTAATATTTACCGGTTATGAATATATACTTTACTGAACTTATGTGTATATACAGCAGTTCTCTATGATACAGTAACTCACATTTGTACCTCAGTAATATTTGTTTAGTGTTATCGTTTTGAAATTTCCTTATCTGTCCTTGAATCTATGTACTGTACTTTGTTGCTGATACTCTTTAACAAATGTAAGTAACACCAGTGAAGCATCATAGCAGTTCCAGACTGATGGGGAAAAAATTTAAGGTAGATTTTCTAAGAACGACGCGTGGTTAAACGAGTGTGTTTGACCCGTCATCTAATTCCCCACAAATCAGCAGAGATCGTGTGGATAGAGTATTGTATTACCACGCTTCTGACCCTTTGACTGGGTGGCAATAACGCTGAAGTAGGTAGGAATGGTTGTTAGTGGTGTTCAGCGGGCAGTGAATCCATAACACTGGAAGGTCTCCCGCTTCTCACAACAACCATGGTCTGTGTGTGTTGACGTCTACATACTGTTGATACGAGGCCATATGCCTTATTTATCACTATATATTCAGTTAATGCTTATCATATTTTAGGTTAGGTTATTGAGAAACACTATAAATGGAACATCCATAGGTAATTTATAACACAGCATAACTCCGGTAGTCTTATTGTCTCATGTGCTTATTGAGCGGAACAACGAGGTCCTTGAATGCTCTCTGACAGTCACCCTCCTCCTGACTCCCTTGTTAATTGCTCACCAGACAATGGCATCATTTACATATTAGTGCCAGAGGTCCCCATTCATCCCCTCCCCTTAACTAGCCAGCAGACAATCCCATCAGTTAGTGGTGATGGACACAGCTGAGGGGGGAGGTTATAGATGCATGTTCCCTCATAGTTAGGTTAAGGTTCCAGTGCTGTACCTGTACCTTTACTTGTACCTGTAATTGTACCTTTACCTGTAGCTTATACTTAAAGCATTTATTGGTGTTAATAATTCTCGTTAAACATTCTGATTACGAGTCAAAATATTCCTTCAGCCTGTCAAGGTAACTTATCACTTGGGCCTCCCATATATTACCATATTACTGACAGTGTATATCTTTCACATTTCCATATTGCTGACTCGCATCTCCATATCCAGTGACCAGGTTCTCCCTTCACATTTCCATAATAGTGACAAGGTTCTTTCCTTAGATTTCCACCTGAGATAACACCCAGTTCTTCACCCACATTTCCATACCAATGATAAAATGACCTTCTTATACGTTTCCACATTTACGCCATTTTTTTTCATTATATGACCAGAATAGTTACTAACCTTCCCAAACATTTATTAATGCAAGAAGCAATTTTCTTCACTCATAAAAAAAAACTTTTCCAATCACATTTCAGTCGCAGATGAAATGTTCGTCTCTCACATTTCTACATTGAAGGTACAGTCGCCTGCATCCATACCTAGTACAGTGGCTGATGCATTTTGTGAGATGTAACAACTCTGTGTTTGTTTACATTGTATTAAAACTCCCAGAATGGCCCTAAGTAACCTCACAATAGTAGCCAGACTAAGGATGCTAGATAAGGATTCCTACAGATTTACCACATCTAACAAAACGTTCCTGACACTGTACCAGGTATAAGTGCAGCCGACTGTACATTTACACAACACTATTAGTTTTTACAACATTTTCTTCTCTGTTCGTCCGCCACGTAACGGGAAGAATGTGGTGTTATTGAAGAACATTCTATCATTCTATCCCCACATCAATAACAGAACTCTCCTATTCCTCCTCCCGCAGGTGAAGCAGTCCGGGAAGAACGTGGTGGTGCTGAGGAACATCTCTCACGACTCCGCCGGCAGGTACAAGTGTGAGGTACTGGCTGACTACCCCTCCTTCGAGAAGGTCTCAGAGACAGCCAAGATGGAGGTCATAGGTAAGGTCCTATTTCCCTATGTGTTGGCTGATAAAAGTAAAGGGTAAAAATACTGCCTCTCTCTCTCTCTCTCTCTCTCTCTCTCTCTCTCTCTCTCTCTCTCTCTCTCTCTCGTACAACCACACCAACACACACACACACACACAACCACCCCAACAAACACATAATAAACATAAAAAAATTACCTCCAAATTAAACCAAAAATTTAAACAAAATCACTAATATCGCTAAACAACACAAAAATATCGTAATTAAGAGGATACACAAAACTAAAGAGAGTGATATATAAGTACACAGAGAGAGAGAGAGAGAGAGAGAGAGAGAGAGAGAGAGAGAGAGAGCACACTATATGTAGAAAGGCCTCGTTCAAACAATGCAACGTTCGAGTAAATGCAAAGTGCAAACAAATGCATGTTTAGCCCAACTGCATAATTAAAAACTTTACATTTCAAATAATGGACACCAGAGGCACAGTACACTCTACATAAATTATGCAACAACACATAAATTGTAAAAAGTTTGCCATGAAATTCTCGAGATTTAGTAAATTCTACATGTGTGTATTATGTTGCATGGTGAGGGGCATATTACGAGAGCATATCATAGTATGTTGCAAAGGGAGATAACTTATTAGAGTATGTTGCATGGGGAGGGGCATATTACGAGAGCATATCAGAGTATGTTGCAAAGGGAGATAACTTATTAGAGTATGTTGCATGGGGAGGGGCATATTACGAGAGCATATCAGAGTATGTTGCAAAGGGAGATAACTTATTAGAGTATGTTGCATGGGGAGGGGCATATTACGAGAGCATATTAGAGTATGTTGCAAAGGGAGATAACTTATTAGAGTATGTTGCATGGGGAGGGGCATATTACGAGAGCATATCAGAGTATGTTGCAACGGGAGAGAACTTATTAGAGTATGTTGCATGGGGAGGGGCATATTACGAGAGCATATCAGAGTATGTTGCAAAGGAGAGAGTAATTGAGTTATATCGCAACACCTAGTAGAGTGAAGTGTTTATAATTATGATATTTATAAACTAGAAATGTATAGATAAATTGATCAACCAGTAAATGTTTATATGATGTTGATAGACAGATTTTTATGATATATATTGACATATTTTTCGTTGTTTTACAGTAATCTAATTTGTGTATTTGTTACCATAATCATGATATTTTTGTTATGTATTCACGTCGGTAAACAGAATTAAACCTTTCAGCATGATTGTGTGTGTATGTGTGTGTGTGTGTGTGTGTGTGTGTGTGTGTGTGTGTGAGAGAGAGAGTCCGTGTAAAATTAGCCAATGACAGCCTTCCTTCTCCGAGCGTTTTAATTACATCACGGGGTAAAGTGCCTAAATAGTGTAATTTCTGTTATTAAGCCCAGTGTTTGTTTACGTAAATTGCTGCCAGATTTATAGAGCGTCAGCAACACGAAGCATTTAGTTAATTCTGTCGTAATATTTTCATAACCAAAAACATGAAGGCATTTTTTCATGACTCGAGATGACCTTGGAAGGATATAGTGACACTCTTCTTCTCGTCCTTACGTCCGTTATGTCAGTACGTCCGTAATGAAGTAATGACACAATTACCTACGTCCTGGAACCTTAGCCAACACTATCATAATCCTCCTGTAACCCTCTATTACCCTATTGAGGTCTGGTCTATCATACACTACTCCTCCCTACTCCCCACTCCACAATCCTTCCCCATCTACGCAGTACCACCACTACTCCCATCCACACTCCTGCTAGTCCTCTCATCTTTATCCATCTCTATTACCACTGTGCCTGTCTTCCTCATTCTATCTTTCCTTCTTTCTATCCTTCATCTCCGACTTGCAGTAGATCCATTATGGAGGAATATGTGCCTTAACACTTGTAAATCTCTATAACACATTGGTACTAAAGCCCTGGGTGGCTCAGTGGCTGCGTCCCCGCCTCCCTCACAGTAGGTCTTGGGTGATGTGTCCCTGGTAGAGGTGTAGTACAGTGTGTTGTATAATTATGTAGTTTATGTTACTTTATTTATATATATTATCTTATAGAACCGGATAGTTTCATATTTGTAAGCACCGGTTAGTGTGTGTGTGTGTGTGTTGTGTGTGTGTGTTGTGTGTGTGTGTGTGTTGTGTGTGTGTGTTGTGTGTGTTTCATGATTCTCTCAGTATTCCCCCATAACAACCAGTGATTTCTGTCCATTGTACACTGATCTCCCTCGTTCTCCTGCCCCCTCAACACACACCATTACCCTAAATAACACTCACCATAACTAACCATAATTCACTATGGTTATATTACCTCTTCTCTGATTCTCTCCTGTTCCCTTTGGTTCTGCAGGCTCCTCCTCCTCCTCGAACCTTCACCTCATCCTTCTGCAGGCTCCTCCTCCTCCTCCTCGACCCTCACCCCATCCTTCTGCAGGCTCCTCCTCCTCCTCGACTCTCACCCCATCCTTCTGCAGGCTCCTCCTCGAACCTTCCCTCATCCTTCTGCACCTCCTCCTCCTCCTCGACTCTCACCCCATCCTTCTGCAGGCTCCTCCTCCTCCTTACCCCCATCCTTCTGCAGGCTCCTCCTGTTTTTGTAATGTAAATCATCCTTTCCCATAACATCTTCCTCGAGAAGAGAGAGGAGAGCTACAGCACTTGATAAAGACAATATACATCAACTAACACACACACACACACACACACACACACACACACACACACACACACACACACACACACACACACACACACACACACACACACACACACACACACACACACACATACACAAATCATAACCTGGAAATAGTTTCGTTTTTTATTCCCAGGCGATCAAAGGCATTCCGTTTTCTGTTATTGTTTATGAAGAGAAAAGATCAATTAACAAGGCAAAATAACGTCACATATCTCTCTCCTTTCAAACACTAATACAATACATTGGAAATTATTCACCTTTGTTTTAGAGTAGTCAAGTATTCCAGTTTATATCTACTGTTAACTGCAAAGTGTGTCCTCTAGCCGCCCCCAGCCTATACTTTCAAAGAGTTTTATAGAAGTGATTTTTTTATCCAAGAACTCTAAATAAATTACCATTATTTATTTCCTGTTATTGTGGCAGTTTATTTTCTTTTACGATTGTTAAGGGAATTTTTTTTCATTCGTGGGATTTTAATGTCGGGAAAATGGTATTTATCTTACCATTACGTAGACTATTGGCACTACCATACTGGCACTCCCATACAGGCGTTTTATAAAGGCACTCCCATAATGGCACCCCCATACAGGCACTCCTATGTTGATATTCCGTTTTGTCTTACACTTCACAAGGAATAAAATAATATCTTCAGTTCACAATACAACAAAAGCTCACTAAATTAACCAATAAAAGCTTAACATTAACAGGCAGTTTCTTTTGTTGTCAGTCTAGCAATTTATTTCCTCCTCCTTGTACAGCGAGGAAAATTGTGTCTTCACCCCCAGCATTACACTGTCACCAACTCCTGGCTTCAGCATACCTTGACACATCATACGCTAATTGTTACTGGGAAGAGGATAAAATGGCCTTTACTAAATAATGTAATGTTACCAGACCTCAAACATCAAAGACTATTACAACAGGGCGGACATTGTCGTTGTCATTTACAGTATATTGATATAATTAATGATTTATTCTCAATTTACTCTGTATGTTTATGTCGGGGTAAAAATTAAAACATGTTCATCACGTTCAATTAACATCCTTAATGACTCGGGTTTTCATAGGACTTCGTTATTTTTCATCCGTGTGTTTGTTTTACGATCAGTAGCTAAGTGTTCGCATTGCTCTGGATTCCTCAGACGAGATCTCAGTCGCTTGGTGTTGGAGACTCTTTTGTGTGCTAAACAAATACGAATGAGCATTTAGGTTAAAAGTCAGGTGGCGTTGTGTAGTGTGGTGAACGTGTGTGTGGTGAACGTGTGTGTGGTGAACATGAGTGTGGTGAATCACGAAATAAAGTGGAAACATTTGGCGATATTAAATGACGGTGTTGGCATTGTTTCTCTATTACGAGCCATAGATAAAATACATAGATAATATATTTTCATTATAGTCCGGATGAGGTTAATGAGCCACATAATATAACTTTGTAATGAAGAAACACAAGAACAAAGTGTTATCTATCTTATCATGTTGGTGACGCATCTTAACATAACACATCAACACATAAAAACTCATTAATATAAAGTTCTGTTACGTACAAATCATCCATAATCACTACGACAAGATCCGACGTTTTGTTTCTCAGTTACAAAAGCTGAGGAATACATCTTGTGCTGTTAGTCTTTAAGTATCGTCTTTATATCTGTCATCATCATGTCTCAGCTTACGAGTGAGACAGGTAAATGTATCTCATATCGTCAAGCAGCTACGAAGTATTTAATGTATGAAAGTTCAAGAATATGTGTTGAGGGACGCGGGAGGACGTCAAGGTCTGGGGACACGAGAACAGACACGACAGAGAGAGATTCCGGCTGTCAGTGGTTTGGTTCCTGTGTCCTCTGTCCCCTCTCTCTCCCCCCATCCCTCCCGTCCTTCCCGCTTCCCGCTATCCTCCACTATCTTCCCGTCAACGCCGTCCCCAAGGAGCAGGAGACGGAGACAAGGTCATGAGCAGGAGACAGAAACAGGGTCATCTCGAGGTCACGGAGGCGAGGAGAAAGAAAAAGTCGTGTCCACACACCATCGCCGTGACCTGACAGGCTTTATCGCCGCGTCACCACCACCATCCTCCTTCCTAGTTTCATGTCGTGAACGTATTTTTCGTGGTTTTTTTCCTTCTCTTCTTTCTATTTTAGGGAGCTGGGGGAGGGGGAGACAAGGGGAGGCGCGGGGGATGAAGAAAGGGGAAGGAGGGAAGGAGAGGAGGAGTGTGACCTATCTTTGTGTCCAAACTGTCTTAACCATTTGCTGACTTTGTTCTGAATATATATATGTATATTCTAAGGTGACAGGAGG